TAATTCTCCAGTGTGGAAAACATGAAATGCATACATTTGGCACATTTTGAAAACAACGTCGTATAGCATTCATAAAAAGTACGTTAAGATCCTAAGGCGTGAAAACAAGCTATAGAAGATGGAAGGACAAAGAAACGTCGTATATTCACAAGTATACACGAAAATGGAAATTTTATCATTTTATAAAGATACACTTTAGCTGATACATCACAAAAGTATATTATGTACAAAACCACGTAACCAGCATCTCAAAAGAGTTTTAAAAAATATTTATATAAATGTTGTAAACCACACACACAAATTAAGTGTTACTCGAAAGTTCCTTTGTACCACGTGTTTCAGAAAATGACACAAACCTAAGGGTTTGATGGAAATAAAGCTAAAGCACTTGAATTCAGTCATATAGCACAGAAAGCCGATGAGTGTAAGAAGGTAATTAATCCAACGCTAGATTTGAAATATAAAACCGACATAAGGTGATTAATTGATGAGACCTTAACCTTGATACTTCATTTATAGAATCTTTTCAAATATCTACTTCCGCGAGCTCATGTGAATCCCTCACTTTAATATGCTTGTGTGTGTTTTCTTATAGCAAAGCCACGGTGGGCTATCTGCTGTACCACCGAGGGGAATCGAACCCCTGATTCGAGCGTTGTAAATCCAAAGACTTACTGCTGTCCCACCGGGGGGGGGGGCAATAATCTTTGTATAGAAACCAGAAGCATTAGAAATTGTAATTCTGCCACAACTTGAGACAAAACTATTAGTTTTTACTGCTCTAAAGAGATACGCGAGAGTATAAAAAAGTTATAAAGATAGGTTTGTTTGTTTGAAGTTAAGCACAACGCTACACAATGGAATATCTGTACTCTGCCCACCAAGAGTATCGAAACGCAGTTTCAAGCGTTGTAAGTCCGCAGACATACCGCTATGCCGCTGGGGGGCTATAAAGATAAAACAATCAGTTTAAAGACACTATTTGTTTGGTTATACTTGAGATAATTCGTGTTTAGTTTAGGAATTTTGTAATTATACCAATGTGCATGTTCTTCTTTCAACACCAAAATAATCATCAAAATACAAGGTCTTCTAATGTTTTATTTCAACATTTAGAACACAAAATGTTCGAAGTGTTCACACATGATTCAGAAAATAGAATAGCCAAAGAAATGGCGGGGGAGTACTGTTGACTAGGTACCTTATGTATCGTTTATCAGTTCAAAATTAGAAAAGTCTAGCACAGATAGTCCTTGTGTAGCGTTGCGAGAACATTGGAGAAAAAAAAAGATATATATAAAACGTTATAAAAGTGAATATAATATAGGCTTTGTCAAGGCGTTCTACAATACTGGTGATAGCAAAATGTATGTTTTGTTTGAAAACACAGTAACGTCTATTGTGAACTCAAAATCTCAAATGTATCGCTATGTAATCTTACATAAAACACGAACAAAAGGAAAATAAAGCAAATTCTTTAGTATTAATGTCTTCTTTCTATTCACATTGTATAATAGGACGAAACTAAAACAATAAAATAAGAGGGCCAGTTTTGGAGACAAGTGAAATAAAGAGACTTTCTAAAGAAACGATTCCTTTCCTAAAAAAACTTAATAATGCACGTAAAATCATATTAAGAGTTTAATGTTTTTACGAGATAAACATAGATAAAGTTTGTAAGTAAGGGGCTAACGTAGAATGAGAAAGATAACAATATAAAAAAGTCTTTTTTTTATAATATTAAACGATTCAAACATTAAAAATTCGTATGAAACATGTTAACTTTTACGATTTTATAATTTCACTTAAATTATGGGAATACCGGTATAAAATATTTTGTGCCAAATGAACATGTGTTACAACAAGTTACTAGATTATTAAAGTCAAGCACCTTCAATCACTACTATTAATATGGAGATCGACTACTTTAGAATCAAACGTGATGCTTTGATAGATAAGTGACTGGTATCCGTGGAACCTGGCCCGGCATGGCCAGATGGTTAGGGCGCTCGACTCGCAGTCTGAGGGTCGCGGACTCGAATCCCCGTCTCACCAAACATGCTCGCCCTTTCAGCCGTAGGGACGTTATAATGTGAGAGTCAATCTCACCATTCGTTGCTAAAAGAGTAGCCCAAGAGTTTGGCGGTGAGTGGTGGTGACTAGCTGCCTTCCCTCTAGTCTTACACTGCTAAATTAGAGACGGCTAGCGCAGATAGCTCTCGTGTAGCTTTTCACGAAATTCAAAACAAACAAACAAACAAACCATGGAACCTTTACTTTCCGAATGGATAGTGACAGAACATAATCATTTGTAATCTTCAAGATGGTGCCTCTGAACAGAAATGTATAAATCATGTCTGAAGAAATAATCGAAACCATTGATTTATTGAATTAACTGTATATGTAATTTTTCTGTAAAGACATCGGTATTGAGGCACTGCTCAAATCATTAGCTTCAAATTTACTACTGATTCGTGTCTTATTTGTTTGTTTTTTATCAAATTACCAGCTGTTTCTAAGAGAAATTACAACTAAAACTGCTTATTCTAAAAATTATAATGCTCCCAAAAAATGGAATGTGTCAACATCTTTATGTGCTTTGCTTACTTAGTTCTGGCATTTTTCGTGCAGAAGTGAAATATGTTCATAGTATTTCTAGTATTTTATGAGTCATTATATTAAAAACTATTGAGAGAGTGTAATAATTGTCACGTTGGTGATCAAATGACACCTGTACTGTGTTTCCTCATAGCACATCACGTTGGTGATCAAATGACACCTGTACTCTGTTTCTTCATAGCACATCACGTTGGTGATCAAATGTCACCTGTACTGTGTTTCCTCATAGCACATCACGTAGGTGATCAAATGACACCTG